TTGGTTTTGATTGTAAAGTGTATGTTCCCAGAAAATCCAATATTTTCTATTGTATGAAAAACTGTGGTCTTAAACCCTAGACCAGTAGTGGAAACAATAGTGTACCGAGAGGAAAAATGCAGTTTTATTTTATAAAACCGGTGAAGTGTAAGCTTCCCGTAAATCAAGATAGTATTGTTAACCCCTAAGTGAGTTATTATAACCATGCTTGATGTGACTGTTATGCCCGTACGACGTTCTTCAGATGTCGGAATAGGTAAGATATTTGTCACCCTAGACTGGCCCCGTCTAGCTGTAGTGAACAGCTCAGGTATGGTGGTGTCAATCCCCGTATAGATCTATACACAACTATCTCGCTCTCCCTCCAGGAGACTCTGGTTATAATGCATGACTTAGAATGTACACTAGGTAGGTATGGTGAAGACAGTGTCTCACTAGAGCCTTAACGGATTTACGCGAACTTTGACTCCCATTAATGAATAATGAAAATGACATTACTAGTGTGAATTTATAACTGTAGTTTTATGACACGAGTTTTATAGCTTTTATGACATACAATTTATTACTCATGCTTTAAAAAGCTTCATGATAGGCAGATTATGACACACAAATGTTTCTGTCATAAATACTGTTTTGTATACCATCTGGTTAGATTGTTATAATACTTTTTATAAATAATCATTAGTGAATATGTCTAATTGTAACATATGTTGTGAAAATAGCATAATATCTTAGGTTTTAAGCCATCAAAATTGTGACAACATAGTTACGACTATTTTACTAATAAAAATTATTTTTAGCAAAATTATCAAGTTTTGTAGTTTGTTTAACACACCATAACCGGTTTGAAAATTTTGTAACACAAAATATTCTATTTTGTTTTGACTCTAACAAGTCACGATTTTTACAAAACACATATAATAACCTTGAGATTTATTATATGTCCACGAGTTAATAACCTTGAGATTTTTACAAAACACATATAATAACCTTGAGATTTTTACAAGTTTTGTAGTTTGTTAAACAAGTTTTGTAGTATTTGTGTAAAGTATAAGAGTTAAAAATGCATATGTCCACGAGTTAAACATGTTTGAGCATAACACTCATGTTTTTGCCATTTTTGAGTGTACAATAATGACCACAAAACCTTTTTATATCACAAAGATGTTATCAACATTTAGTTCATGATTTTAACACATATTGAGAACCTTTTTATTCAATAACTTGTTCCATTTTCAACCCATAACTATGATGCATGCAAATAACCAAAGGGTAAACGAGACTTGTCTTGTATTCTCCCCCTGAAAAGTATGAAAAACAAGAAAAGATGGGGGTATGAAGCTCACCTTGATTTCGTGTGATAGGAAGAAGAAGAAAGAAGTTGTTGAGCCTAGCTTTGTGTAGCATGAAGGCCACTCGAAAATGGATGATGTCCTAAGAAGCTACACACGAAATGTGTGTAAACATGGAGTTCTTCACTTAAATATGTAAAAACACTAGAATTTTACAAGGAACCTAGCTAGTTCTTTTGAGTTACTTGAAGAGAAAACCCTTGAGGAAGGCACCCACGAATTTTAGAGAGAAGATGAGAGGAAGTTCTTGAGAGTGAAGTTGGTGAAAGATTTTTGTGATGCGAGTGGGTGTGGGATCGGCCGATCTCTCCCTTAAGTGAGAGATTAGTTGACTTTTTGATGCATGATGGGAAGTTAGCCTAGAAACATGATGGTCAATAGTACATGCATGGATACATGATAGATAATCACTTTGATATTTGTGGGATATTAGTGAGGTGTCACCCTTTTTGGCATTTCCTTTTTTTTTTTTGTCTTGGCTCCCATAACCGATTTTATTAATGAAGTGGAGGGGTTTTCGGTTTTAGGGTGGCCTAAAACACCCTATATCCTTAAGAGTTTGCGGTTTTTGGTGAGTGTAGGGGCTTTTGGGTTTAATTTGGCCCAATAAAGGGTTTTCGGTCCATTAAGGCCCAAAGAAAAGGGTTTTCGGCCTAGGGTGTTTGGGCCGAGAATCCTTCGGTCAAGGCCCAAAATTGGTTGGCCTTGGCTATTGGATCAAGTTTTAGGCTTGTAAGAGGCTATTTCAACTTGATTTTAAATGTACGCTCATATGTATTTAAATAACATTGTAGTTTGAATTTCTGTAATTTGATGTTACAAGGTTACATAGAGGAAATTTTTGTACATGAATCACCATCTCAACCCTAAATTTGTTAGTTGTGACATATAGCCATGAGAGGCTTATTATTTGTGTATGTGGTATTTTGGGGAACTCACTAAGCTTCGTGCTTACAGTGTTGTGTGATATGTGTTTCAGGTACCTCTCAGGATTGCGGGAAGGCGCCGACATGATTGTACACACCAGCTTGAGATTATGTTTTGAGGATTCTGGGATATTGTCAAACATTTTGTTGTCTTGAGTTTTGAACAACTTATACATATGAGTTTTGAGAAATGTGAGATTGTGTTTTATGTGGTTTTAAAAATAAAAAATTTGTTTGAAAATTTAGAGCGTTACAAGAAAAATTGAATTTTTATTAGCAAAACAACTTATGGTAATTATCCAAATCTAATTTAGGCCAAAAATCCGGAAGTTTTATATCTGATCTGATGCCACGTTGTGGCAATCTTTCCCACGTCGTGGGCATCAGCCAGAACAAAAAACGAAAATTCTTCCAGCTTTGAACAATTCATATTAGCATCAAATACAACAGAAAAAGCACCCTAGGCTCTGATATCACTGATGGGTTTTGAGCACTACAACATTTCTATGGTGTACATGCAACCCTAATGCTTTGGATCTAGGTTTTTCTCAAGTTATACATGCAATTTAATATCCAAAGCATAAACCCTAGTAACTAGCATACAATTTCGAAATTGGACTACTAAAACAAAGTTAGATGAATACCTTTTCCTTGTAGCTAATTAATCTTGACCTTCAAGAGCTTAGTGCCCCAATTGTTGCACCTCTAATGAATCATAAACACCAAGTAACAAAGGAGAATTATAAGAGTGAGGTGAGAGGCTCAAAAATCGGCGAGGGTTCCTTATGGGATCATCAGTCCGATTTTGGGAGCCAATGGGTTCCTTTTATAGTTGAGGCTTCTAGGGTTATTAACTTGGAAACCCTAATTCCCTTGCTTAGTCCCTAAGCAACATATGGATCCCCATATGACATGCCTTGGACGAAAATTCTATGGGCTCCCCATAAATTTTCGTCCATCCTATGCCAATAGGATCCATTAGCCCAAACTACAACTAATACTGGTTTACATAATCTGTCCCCGTTAATTTAGTCAGTCTCTTTTGATCACTAAATTAATTCCAAATTAATTTCTGATCAACACTAATTAAATAATATGATTTAACAATTAATATATTATTCTTATAATATATTAATAAATCACAATTAACCTCTTTCTCCATAATTCATCCTATCAAATTGCTATGGTGAAGACAACTCAAAAGGACCATGTTACTATTGGGTCAAGTACATACCAATTATAGTTATGGGCTTAGATACCTAATCCAACAAAAGCGTGAGTTATCCCGCTAGCTTTGATATACATACATGACTCATCTTCGTGTCTAGAAAATCCAAATTCTTACATCATGGATAACTTTATTTATATCGACTTCTCAATGACATTGTGATGGTTTTTTTAACCCATGGCTTGAACTACTTTACATTTTTATTGATACATTATTACAATAATATGATGTTTTGTTTGCTAATCAATAATATGATAAGATGTAGAGTGTTAGATATTGTCCAAAGAAAAAAAAAATAGTGTAAACCAAGTAATAATCAAAGGTGTATCCAAAAAAATAAACCTTGAATTGTACCATAAAGTGTTTCAATCCCCATTTAGAATTACACATGCCACTCACATAGTAAACTAGTTCAAAAAACTTACTTAACCCTTTTATATCACAAATTATTTAATTAAGAAGAATCAAAATATTCATTCTCTATTGATGAAGTTGAAAACTCGAAAAGAAGCTTCACTCTTAACTGATATGGGTTTCTTTAGTTGAGTGAATATAGGATATTGTAATCTAGGTTCTATCACCTTACTAACTTTAGTTGAACCACTTAATTCTGTCATGAAGATTTCACGATTTCTAAACCTTGGAACTCATGTTAAGCATATAACCAAGGAATGTATCATAGAAGGGTCCTTTGAGCGAAGAGTTTAACTAGATCAAAATATCCAACGATAAAATCACATTTGTTCCTTAAAAACAAACAATTTCTCTCATTCTTCTCTCAAGAATCATTCAGATGAAAATGAGGGAAGACATTAATACTTCTAAAAAGTCATAAATGACCATCACTTATGTTTTAATCTAAAGTCACAAAAGATGGACCGACTCTTATTTTAATAGCCGCAACTTGAATTTTACACTATGACCTTATGAAACTATGAAGTTTAGGTCCTATTGAGAAAACTTGAAATATGAAAAGGTCATAATATATAGTTTAATTTCCAAGAACACCCCCCCC